ACTTCATGTCTCCTCAAGGTTGTTTAAGCCAGTTTTCAAACCTCGCATTGCAAGTTTTCTCAATCAATGGTTCAGATAACTGAAAACGACTACATTGACCCAAAAATTGACCTCTTACGAGAACAAGTTCAAACAATCGTAACTTCTTCATTATTCAATATTTTTGAGTGGTTATTATTGTGTATGATTCTCCTTGATGCCATCTACAATTTCTATTCACAAATTAAGAGCTTATTACGTGTAGAAGATCACCAAAATTCGAGTACGTTAGAAGTCGCATCATGGACTTTGACCTAATTTTAAATAACAGTCGTCTGTTTCTAAAAATTGTGATTTCTTCAAATTACAAGATCTTGAGACGATTATTTCTGTATATGGTCATAAGTGATGTCGCTCACGAGTTTTTTTTCAAAGATCAAAAGAAAATTGTGTTTGGAAGACTTCAAAAATTATCGAATCGTCGTAAGTCATTTGTTGATTTTTGAATGTTCTTAACCACAGTTTGTTGCAAGATTGATGGATGTTCTTAAAGCATGTTTGTTTTAATCGAGCGTGGCGTGCGAGTCCATTTTGAATTCAAGTTTGAATTGGATACTATTTAAAGATTAATACTTTCATTTAAAACAACCATAATTTTGGATTCAAGTCGACCAAGTGGAATTGAATTCTTAAACATTTATTTTGTTTAGGAATTTGATTAGAGTACAAGGTGCATGTTTGTTTGAAATACAAGTTACAAATTCATTTGCGATTGCTTGGAATTCAAGTTACCATACTTAAGTATTTCATTTCAAACTATTCCAATTGGGAATTTCAAAATTCAATTAAAATACAAAGATTTGTATAGAATCTCATCATATCAAAAGTTATTCAATGCTTTGTATTATTACATTGCAAATAAAATTACAAATTTTTTGTCTTGTTTACAAAGAATCACAAGTTTCTTGTTTACAAAGAGAAGTTTTGTTTCTTCTTCAAGTCTTCCTTGCTTCGTCTTCAAGCAACTCATCCCAAGCCTCGCTTGCCATTCATGAAACAAGAAGAAGAAAAGTTAGCAAGCATTCAATCAAAAATAATGTGTAAAGAAGAGAAATTCATCATTAGGGTTTGCGTCTTGGAATCAGAATGTTTGTTTGTTTTAATCACAATCCATTTATCCCTATTTTGCAAATCTTAAAACCTGAATTTTGGTTCACAAAAAAGGGGAAAAGAAATATACAAAGCAAACAAAACAAGCAAGTTGCCCAATCTGCAACAAAGCAACAACCATATAGCAGCAAGCATGTTGTCCAAAACCTGCAACAAACATAGCAGCGGGCAGCAAGCAACAACATATGCAAACAATGCAAAACAAGGCAGGCTGCAATGCAGCAGGGCATGCAAGTTGCCCAACCTGCAGCAAAGTACATAACAGCAAGCAACAACATATGCAATGCAAAACCAACACAGAACCAAGCCTGCAAAGTAGAACAAATACAGCGTAAGCATAGCAGCAGCAACAAGGCTAGTCAACTTATCCAAACATGTCATCATTTTCCTATAAAACTGCAAACCCTTTAGAATTTCAAAAATAAGCAAAATTGCTTTTTTTTCATTGAAAGAGGAAAGAGGAAAGATGAAAGAGATATCACCTAGCAATACAGTCCAAAGTCCTGTTATATACCAAAAACTCAGCCCAACAGTTGCACCAAATAGGTAATTACAAACCTGCTACTCAAATGCTCAAAGTCAGCTTTCCAAAACAGTCCAAAAATCTGTCAAAAGCAACTGCTACATACAGCCAAAATTGCACACAAACATGCCAAGTTAAAATCTGTAATAAAAATGGCAAAGTAGTCCACAAAACCAGCCTGCTATCCAAAGCCCTGCATTAGTCCAACCTTGCTGCACAAATAGGCTAAAAACCTGTGACCTGTTATGTTGCTGCAACAATCTTTCACCCAAAATGCATGATACCAAAACTTGTGCAAGAAAAGAAAAAAAATGGTGCACTTAGTGAACAAAGATGGATTCAAAACTCCCTCCTAATTTCAATATCTAGCTCTATATAACATAGTTCACAATAACAACAGAAAACATTTTTTTGACAAGCCAAAAACCAGCATAGAAAACCAACAGATAGCCAATAAACAGAAGAACCAAGCCAGCATAAGAAAACCAGGGGCCAAGGAAATAGAAAGAAAACAAACAGCAAAAATCAGAAAAGATAGGAACACAATAACATCAAAACCCAGAAGATATCAGCATCATCATTTGTCCAAACAAAAAACTATGAAGAATTATGTACCATAATCATAACAGAGATCATCACCAAAATTCCCAGAATCGTATTTCAGATATCCAAAGAATTCAGACTACTGGAGTCGGATTTCCTTTAAACTATGTACAAGCACAGATCAAGCTTACCGGAAATCACAACCCCATCTCTGAAACTGCATCCTTTCATCCTCTTCATCAAACCTTCATCGCAACCTGACACAGACCTTCATCAAATTAACATTACAACACCAATTTTGATATCACACACGTAACAGAGGAGAAGAGAAGAAAATCGGAGCATACCTAAACAAAGCCTCGCCGGAGCTTCAAAACGCTAGACATCATCAACCGGAAGAAACCTTCGTTCAGGTAAATTCTTCACAATTCTCGTTTGTGTTACCGTTGATTGTTGGCTTAAGCGATTTTTGGGATTTCACAATTTGTTGTTGCTTTTCTTCATAAAGAAAAGTCCATTATGAAAACAAAGAATAACGTGAGAGATAGAGCAGAGAGTGAGAAGCAGGATCGAGAGAGTTTGAAGAGAGGAAGGGGGGATTTGAAAGAGAGGAGATTAGAATTTATGTTGATTTCTGGAGGGGAAAAAAAGAACGATGATTGTTTGTGTTGGAACAGTTGGATTTTCAATCTTCCCCCTCTACCAATAACAACAATATGGCGCCTCTAATCAGGTTTCTAGGGTTTCAAACCCTTCCCTTTCCTTATTTCCAGTCGGGTCAGCCCATTGGGCTGCTGGCCCAATCCAGTTATCATTTTCCCCTTTATGTTTCAATTAAACCATAGAAATAACAGATAGACAACACAACTCAGTTGGTAAGGCTTGTACATTGTAATATGGAGGACCCGGGTTCAATACTTTGCCAGGACATTTGTTTTCATTTATTTTGTTTCTAACTATTTACCCTTAGGACAAAATTAGTTTAGGTCTAGTTTTTAATTTTAAAATTCAATTGAATTAAATACAACTCTTAAATTAGTTAAATTTCTCTTAGTTAGGAAATTTTGTAATTACCCCTTTTTCTTTTAATTTATTTATTTAGTTTTTCTACATAACAAAAATACTAAAAAACAAAATATATACAAATGATTTAATTTCTTTAATCAATTATTTTCTTTAATAGATTAGAATTTCATTTTTTCTTTTCAAACTTTTCAAACAAATACCAAGAATTTTATTTTCATACTTTATTAATTAATTTTATTTCATGGACTATTATAATTTTAATTAATCGTTCAAATTTGATTTGGTTGTATTGTTTGCCTATTTTGGACTTTTAATCGCATTTGACTCATCCCCATTTGTAAAAAATTGTACCCCCATTCCCGAAAACTCTGTAATAGCGTAGAATTTCAATTTCTGCAATTTATTGTTTTCCTTATATTGTATAGTAATCAGGCGTGTATGGAAAGATTTAAAATCAATCGCTAGATAACCTAATTTCAAAGACAAAATTAACTTGAAACGAACACACTTTTTCACACGCGCACCTCTAGGGTAACCTCGCTTGTTGCCTCAGAAATACAGTCATGTCCCTCGAATATGGGACACTTCAGCAAAGACCCTTCGGTAAAAAAGATCATAGTCCCTCGATGTTGCCTTCGATAAAATGATCTAGTCCCTTACGAAAATTGTTAAAGTGTCTCACAAGTTGCCTTCTATGACTGTACAAACGTCCTGCGCATGTCCCTTCACATCCAACGATGGGGCTTCTTATCAAATCAATGGTAAGGTAGCAACATCTAAAGGAGGAAAAGAACATTTAAGACTTTCGAGTAGGTAGATTCACTTTTAATCGCTCGCTTGCTCACAACCAAACATTTTAAACCAACACTTTCAAAACATCTTTCAAAACTTGAAAACATTTTCAAAAGATCAAACACTTTGTATACATTCTTATGAACGAGAATCATTACAAATTTTGCCTATACAATGGTCTCTTTTCAAAAATACTTTCAAAACCACACAAAGCATAATTTCAAACAAAAGCAAGTGATATAGCAAGTAACTAAGAGTCCATAGAAAAGCATGGATAAAAAGGGTGTTAACACCTTCCCTTTTCATAATCTACCCCCGAACCCGAGAAATAATCTCGAAAGGTCTTTCTTGTATTTTTTTACCTTTCTTTTTGGATAAAAGAAAAGTCGGTTGCGACTCTTGCTAACCGCACAATTGCTATCAAGCACAAACGACCCAAGTCAGTTCTCTCACCGTATCACATATATCAATTAGTTACATGCAAATGAATTATTTTTTATCTATTAACAAAATTGATATTATAGTCATCGTAGTTATAGTTATTTTTATATAGAAAAAATGTATTGAAGCATAATTTTAAATTCGATCAAACTTATAATTTATTTTTTGTAAAATCAAATATTATCTAATTCTTATATAAATCCAAACAAATCAAATATAAATTCAATTTAAAAATAAAAATTTTGTAATAAAAAAAATCTAATTCGATTAAAACTTGAAATATAATTTTTGTGTAGACGGTGGTCAAATATTATCTTGATCGAAGAAACACAGTTACCATTTGTAAGCAAGTAAATGAAAGAGAAGAATCAGGGGGCAATACAGGGGCAGTTTTTCTTTGTTTAATTACAGATAGGCTGGCATGATGAGCGGTCATTATTGAGCATCAAATGTATGCGTTCATCACGTTGATGAGCGGTCATTATTGAGCATCAAATGTATGCGTTCATCACGTTCATGACGGCTCATGCTTAACCACATTTTACCTGTCATTGTTTTCTTCCCCATTATTTTATTTCCACATTTGTTAACGTGCACCCAAGTACTCTTGTTAGTTACCATCATCATCACTGTTTCTTCTTCCTTGTACTATATTTACACATCAATATATCAAACATTTTCTTACATACTTAGATCGATTCGGTTCACGATGAGCAGCAACGGATCACAGTTTGGGGACACTACGCTGACCAAAGTGTTTGTTGGAGGTCTTGCTTGGGAGACTCCGAAGGACACACTGAGAGAACATTTTGAAAAGTACGGGGAAATCCTTGAAGCTGTTATCATTTCTGATAAGGCTACTGGCAGATCCAAAGGCTACGGGTTTGTGACTTTTAAGGAAGCAGAGGCGGCAAACAAGGCTTGCGAGGAACCCACTGTCATAATCAATGGCCGTCGAGCCAACTGCAATATCGCATCTCACGGTGCTCGCCGTCAGAAGTCTCCTCTTCCACCGCCATACACCCAAGGTACACTACACATGTTATTAGTGAATGATAGATTGTATATGTAACACTAAATTAAAATGTATTTACTATAGGAACCAAGAACCGTGAGAGCCAGCAAGTTCAGTGGTATTATCCGGTGGGAACACCCACACCTGCACCTCCTTCTCCATTCCATCATCACGCCATTCCTTTTTACGGGTATATATTTTGTTTTCATTTTTCCTAGCATAAATATGATATGTTTATTTAATCTGTTTTTATTTTAACTATTCAGGTATACGCCAACCACCACCTACATTGCACCAGATCATATGAATTACAGTTACAATTACAATTACAATCAGGTAAGTAATTAATTGTATACAATTGCATTACGATTACATGATCCAATCTGAAAAGTAATGGACGAATGCATGCAGAAGCTGAACTATGGAATGGGTGGGGTCTATGTTTACCCGACCCGGCAGGGTATTGTGCCAGTGATGCATCCTTTCTACAGAACCGAAACTATGGGTGTACCTGCACCTCAAATCTTCCATCCACTACCACCTAATTATCCTCCTTCCATCACTCCTACTCCTACTACAGGTCACCCACTTTATTGATTTATACATATATTACTGTCTCTCTTGTCAGAGATACAAGCTTTTCACTCACTGAATAATATACTATGTCAGATCGTGTTACTTTCAAGATTTGGTATATACTTTATTCTAAGTGACAGATTGTTTTTGTGGTTGGCACAGGTGAATGTTTCAAAAGAGTAGTCGTATGACAGAGAGGAGCTTAGTTGGCATATGCATGGGTGATGCTCTCACGCTGCTACATTATTATCTCATATCTGTCGCAGCTTTTGTATTCTTTATTTTTAATTCTTAATCTTAGGTCTTTTGTTTCATTCCTCACATTCTTTCATTCTCTCTCTCTTTCTCTAACATCTCACCATGATGAACTCTGAACCGTTTCATTAATATGCCCATGTGTTCTTCAATTACCCATACCTAGTGGGTTGCTACCTTTTACTCTCTTTCAACCTAAATATTTTTTTTTAATAATTTATTTTTATTTTTAGTCTAGTTATAAATAAAATTGTAAATATTAATTTCTATTTTTTTGGATATGGTCCATCAAATTAAAAAAAAAAATTGAATAAACTAGTCGATTTATCTAGTCAGCTTATTTATAAACTCTTTGCAATTAAAACTTATTTCAAACAACAATGGTAAAGAACTAGGTTTTGACAATCAACAGTTTTAATATTAATTGGAGAATCAATCACGGGATAAATAAGACTTGTGAATCTTTTGATTTCTATTTCCTACGCCTTTCAAGATAATTAGAATTTTCATACAGGATTCTTAAATTCAATTTAGGTGTAATGAATTTCAATCAAAAGTATTACACATTAAGAAATGGGTGGGTTAGGAAAGGAACAAAGGATGAAAGGTCCATTGCACTTATTGAATTAATGAATCATGAAAGATAAATTGAGTACAAATGTTGTACATGGTGACGATAGAGTCAAAAATTTTGAATAGTGGAGTTAATTTAAATATAACATTTCATTTTTATATAAATATATTATAATTGTTCTCTGTAATTTTTTATATGCTGAAAATATGAAATATTTTTTTCATTTTCAACATCAACAAAAATATTTTTTTTTTTAATGTAACTAAGCAATTATTTAATCATTTATCATTCATGCATTTTCGCATTTGATTCTTGATAATATTCATAATTTCAGTTGTTGCAGTTGTCACCGGTAATATCATAGATGACTTTAAAAGCAAATATATCAACGGATACACAACATATTTTTGGTCTCTACGAGATTGATAGAAAGATCACCAATCATTTCTAATTCTGAAAATTCACTGTCAATAGTTTTCAAGCTGACAATCTAGCGTCAATAATTCAACTTGAAAAAAAAAAAGATGAAGGATAAAATTGAGCTAATCGAATCAACCTCTCCTTATCAAATGCAAAAAATAAATGTGTTGGACTTAAACAAGCTACATAAAGGAACACAAAGGAGCAACTCATAATTCACTTCTGCAAAATGATTATTTAACTCTTGAAGTTGTCGATCAATCACTTCATAAAACAATTCAACTTGAAAATGATGTAAATTAGATACTTTCCCTATTTTTCTCTTTGACTTTTTTTGTGCTAGTTGAAAGTATCATCCATATTTAGAATGTCAATATCATTATGCTCACAAAATAATGAAACATCATACAACAAAGAATCTCAATCATTATCTCTTATAGCTTGTAGTCTTATTTTGGACACTTTTAGTAACTTCATGGCATTTACAATATATTGATCACTTCTTTGTAATGCTTGAGATAAATAATGTGTAATTCTTAAAGCTTTTTCGTCAAGTACAAGATGAAAATAAATATAAAAGATTGCGTATAATTCATCAGAAATAGTGTTACACCTTTTTTTTATCTAAATCTATTCTATCTCCCTCAACCATTTCTAGCACATCAATCATAGAAGAGAATAGAGAAACTATACTAAGTAATATACCATAATGTGAGCTCCATCTTGTTTCTCCCGCCTCCTTAATTGTCATTTCTTGATCCAAGCCACACTCACTAGAGATTTCTCCATCTTCCAATGCTTCTTTTACCTTTGTAGATTGACTTTCACGAAGAATATATTGACGCTTACATGATGCTCTAACAACATTATACAAATTAGCAACCAAATTAATAAATAAAGCAATTTTAAAATACTTTTTTGCTAATGTCACAAGAGTGTTTACCGTGGTTATTGGTAAACAACCGCTGATCCTCCAAATGGTTACTTATTTGGTTACTCGCAGGATCGATCAGATTGATCCTAAGACATAGGTTGATTTTGAGGTTTTGATTAAGTTGGATAATGGTTAAATGACAATAAAATAAAGAGGCTTTAAGTAAATTGCATGAAGAAGTGGACTTTGATAAAATAAATGAAGGCTTGAAATAAAGGACTTCGACAGGAAAAGTAAAGAAGAAAGCAAGTAAAGTTTCTGGAAAAGTAAATGACTTGGATTAATAAAAATGGTGTTTCACACATACATTCTCAACAATTCTTTCTCACACGATGGGTACTCGAATCTATATGAGTGACTTTGTATATAATTGTGAACACACGCGAGAAACTGCGTGAACTACTACTATTTATACTAAAACATCCCAAGTAACCGTCGGGCAGTTACACTGCTTCGAGATGACTCCACTTGGCACGTTCTCAACGTTCGACGCTCCAGATCTTTGCACGTTGCACTTGGTAACCGCTGGAAACCGTTTTCCCTCCAAACACTTGAATTTCAAACCGTTCCACTCTGAACCATCGAACATCTTCGTCGAGAAGCATCTTCGACGAGAAACACCTTCGACGTCGAAGGCAACCAACTTCTCCCTTGGAAGAAATCTTCTAAGTACATTGTCATCTTTCGATGGGCATTTCGACAGACCCAGCTGGTCGAAAACATCCTTCAGCTTTAATAGCTGACATTAATAAAACAAGGGTGTCGACTTTAGGAGCCAACAAATTGCCCCCCAAGAATGCCTTATTTCGACTCTGAAAGAAAAAGGCATTCTTTGAAATGCCATTCGACACCTGTCTTTTCATTCTTAGTCACAAATTAAATTGTGCACTTTTTGTTGTCTTCTACCAACCACTGACAATCCCAAGGAAAAGCCATCATTCATCCGTACCTAAGACGTCACTTCAGTACGGCGTGCAGTGTGCCAAACGTCTTTTCACAAATTGTCATCATGACAATTCCCAAAAACGAGGGCGCACGCTGCACCCTTCCATTTCTGCAGAACGGCTACAACAACAGGGAGACGCCACGTGTCCCACTACCTTCTGCAACATTAAATGGCATTTAATGTCCTCGAATTTGGGGATTTCCCCCACTACTATAAATAGCGGTAAGTACCCATTGTGGGACTTTTTACGCTACCTTGCTTTCAGAATTCCCCATTTGCATACAAACTCTTGTCAACTTTGCAAACCCCCTGTTCTTCACTTCGTCTTCAACCTTAGTACCAACAATGGCATCTGGTTCTTCCAACGCTCCTAGTGCCAACACTCCCTCTGGAAATGTCAAACCTAGGGTTTTCACCACTGCTCCTGTAGTGACTCCCACGGGCCAACGAAGGGTCCCTGAGCCTTTGGACATTGTTGTACGTGATGCTTATTCACGCCACCTTATGATTCCGGTTGGATATTCCAACCAAATCTTTGCTATGTCTGGACCATTATACCCAAGCATTGCTGAGGCCATGAAGATCAAAAGTTACTTTCCGGTACTTGAGAGACTCAAACCGGTTGGATGCTCCAAAAAAGATGCAGAGGATAATGAGGATCCTGCTAAGGAGAAAATCGACCTCCGTTTCTTCAATAAAGGCGTTAGGGCTTTCAGGTCTGGCCCTAGCCTCACTCCTTATTATAGTGCTTGGCTGGAAAAAATGGAGAAACGCCAGGCTTCGATCTGGAAAGACATGGGGATATTCGACCTGGTTATGTTGTCGAAGACAGGTCTTAACTATTCCCCGGAGATGTTGATAGCTTCTTTACTTTTCTGGGATTACACCCATTTCACCTTCCATCTTCCCTATGGAATGCTGACTCCCACGCTCTTCGACGTGGCCGCCATCACTGGCCTTCGACCCACTGGGGACTACTTCGACCCGGAGGAAATGTCGGAGGATCAGATTGGATTCTCTGCCACAAAACCAACCTACACCACCTTCATCAATCACTACCACGATAAGTCGACAGAGGCTGTGTCGGATGTCGAACATATTGCGTTTCTAGCCTTATGGCTGACACGCTTTGTGTTTTGCTCCAAGTCCTTACAGGTGATCAAGAAGATGGTCACTCTCGCCACTCAACTCCATCATGGCCAAAATATCTGTTTGGCAGAATTGATTTTGGCTAGTTTGTATGAGTCGATTAGCAACGGAGCGACTCTTCTGAAGATCATCGAGAACAGAGCCAGTCTGCTGCTTGCTGGACCTTTTTGGCTGCTTCAACTGTGGCGCAATGCCACCTTCGAGTCTTTCTTGCCTAAGAAGATTCAAATAAATGAGCAGGCTCCAGAAATAGCAAACAGACGCGTCGAAGGCACCAGATTGGCTCTGTTGACTCCAACAGAAGATGGGCTAGAGCTTCAACAAACTTTTACAAACTTCGTTTTGATGTTTGCTAAAAGGAAAGAGTTTGCTTCGACCATGGCTCCGTTTGCTCGACGAAAGGTTGGCCCAGAGTGGTTCACAAGGCCACATCCTAGGACGTCGAGTGGTCCTCAGGTCGACGAACATACAACAGTGTGGGAGGCATTTCTCACACCAAGAATAATGCCCCTGCGATTCAAGAGTTCTAAGACTCACTTGAGTCTGATTGCGTATCAACCAAACCTGGTGTCTCGCCAGTTTGGTATTATCCAAACACTGCCTTCTCCAATTTTTCCCAGGGAGAAGTCTATGTTATACTTCTGCAACGACTACACTGAAGACGCTGCCACTAAGCATATCGGCAGATATGCTGGTCGAACAATTCTTTCGTTGTTTGACTATCAGCTCAACTTTCTCTGCTCACCACCCTTCGAGGAGTGGTGGAAAAGTTACTACGCTGAGTAGTTTTTCGACGAGAAGGACTTTGTGGAAGAACTTCAGAAGTCTTTTGTCCTTGTCTTGGACAAAATAAAGAAATGTAAGTTCATCCTTCCAAATTACTTTGTCTCTCTCTTTCGACTGCTAGCCTGTT